CTTCAAGAAGTTGATCGCCAAGTAGACTGATGGCTTGGCCCCCTGCCAGGCACAGAAGCGTCGGAGATCTTCGCGACCAGCGTGTCCATGATGACAGTAAAGGCGGGCGACCATCGCCTTGATCTCGCGGGGGCACTTGTCGTCGCTGAGGTTAGGGAACTTGATGCGGCACCCTGCGATAGAGTAGAGGTCGGGATCGGCAGCCTGAACTGGCGGCGCCGGCGGACGCGCGCCCGGCTCTTCCACTGGGGGCTCCGCGGCGCTCTCAGGGTGAACTTGGGCAGCAGCAGGTCCTGGCTGCGGCACCTCGGAGGGCAGCTCGCCGTCGGCACTAGCCGACTCAGGCGCGTTCCCGAAGAAGAAGATGGCGAGGGCGATCGGCTCGCTGAAGCGGTGTCCCGGGCCCGATCCTCCATCATGAGCATCGCCTGAGTGGGGGCAACGTGCCACTCGTCAGTGTCGCGGTCGACGTCGACGAACCAGGCGGTGTAGAGCTGGTCGTGGTGGTCCGCGGGTGTGCTGTCCTGAGGGTGCCAGTCGCATCGGCACTGGTCGTAGCTGGATGTCCAGGCCAGTGAAGCAGGCGATCGGACGGCAACCATATGCTGCACGGCGGTCAGGATGCTGTGTGCGAGCTCCTCGGTGAAGACCTGAGAGCGGGAAGTATCGCGCCCTTGGACTTCAGCATGACTATGGCTGCGATCGCACCTGCGGGTCACCGACTCCAGCAACTTGGGATGGTTGCTTACCCACGTCCGCGTCTTACGCATCAGCTCGCCGTTGAGGGCCCTGAGGTTGTAGGGGCAGCTGTCGCCGCGGCCCCAGACGGTGTGGTGGTCCTTCCAGAGCGGGTCGAACTCGGGCTGATCCCAAGCCTGGCTCCTGTCGGCGTTCTCGAGGAGGAAGTACCCGGCGTTCTTCTGTTGCTCGAGGGCGGCCCATGCGACGAGCTTGAGCAGCGGACGATCCTCGCCCTGGAGGGAAGCGAGGAGGTCGGGGAAGTCACGGTAGTTAATCGCGTAGTTGTACCAGCACCACTTCGTGCAGGGGAAGCCCATGATAACCACCAGCGGCTTGGACGTCTTGACGGCGTGGTTCCACCTGCGACGACCAACTACCGTGCCCAGGTCGAAGCCATAGATGATGTCGACGGGCTGCAGAGCGGCGAGGCCGAAGAGGTGCGCGCTTGGCGATGGTCCCCTGTCCGGCGAAGCCCTCGAGGATGCGCGCGTGGCGCGGCGCCTCGGCGTTGACCTGCCGGGCGGTGCTGTCGACGACGCCCCGAACCCTAGCCTCGACCTCGAGCGCGGAGATGGCGCGGTTGAGGTCGCCGATGCGACGCTTCAGAGCTCCTCGAAGCCCTCGTTGGATATCTCCACGTCCGAGTCGTCCTCCTCCATGATGGCGTCGGTCCCCCTGGGGCGGCGGCGCCTGGCTGGCGCCTGCTTGGGCATCGCCTTGCAGCGGGGCGCCGTGAAGGACTGTGCTGGGACTGAGGGTCTCGAAGATGATGCGCTCGGCGTTGCTGGCAATGCGGCGCCCCTCGCTGCTATGGCTGCCGGTGACGGCGGCGGCGGCCGCGAGGGGGATGCCCGCGATGACTTGGAAAGGTCATCGGGATACTCGATACACTTGGTGTCGGTGACGATCCACTTCCACCTCGTCTGGCACGCTGGCTGCTGGCACCTGGCGCGCCACCCGTGGCGACCCGCGCAGTGCTCCTTGATGGTGGTCACCCCCGTGTTGGAGTCCTGGTGGTCGCACGGCTCGCGTCTCTTGGGCGCCTTCATGTCCAGGTGGGCCTCGTGCGCCTTCAGACCCCCGGTGCATCCTTTGACGAAGGCAGCCAGGAGCGGCGTCGCCTTCAGGAACGCGTTCCGAAAGCCCGGGCCCGTCATCAACGAAGCTCGGAAGGCCTGACCTGCACTCAGGGCCGCGTAGATGAGCGCCCACAAGCGCATGAGAAGGCGTTTCCATCTCTCGCGAATACGTGGCCGCATCCGCCGCGGCGAACTGGCTGGCAATGAAAGGGGCCGAAGGCTCGGACATGGAAAGATGGCAACTGCTGAAGCTCGGCTGCTTGACCGAAGATGGCTCGAGGGTCGAGTCAGATCGCTCGATCTGGATGGCGCCCTCGGAGGTCTCGTACTCGGTTAGGCCGTCGTCGGCAATGTCGAAGTGCACGCGTCGCTGGCGTCGTCGTGCGTCCATCTTTGTGGACTCGGTCGCCGAGGTCCCCTGCTTCAGTTGTGCTCGCTCGAGGTGTCGCTCTCGACGTTGTTCACATTTGATCTTCGCATCGGGGGGTAGGGTGACGTCCTCATCCAAGGTGTCCCAATCCGAGAAGTCGGGTAACTCGGTTGGGAAATCGGAGATGCACACGATGAGCTGGCCGTTAATGGCCCTCTGAAGCGGGAGGTCGTAGACCCCGATCCCCAAGAAGCAGATTGCCCCCGCGAACATGTTGATGGAGGCTCCCAAGACGACCATGAACTCGTTGGAGGCCAGTAGGGGAATCGCGAACGACACCTCAGAAGACCTAGCCCAGAGCGCCACGCCTGCGATGCCTATCGGGTAACCCCATCGGAGGACTGAGTGGATCTCGGGGCCCTCGCCGAACTTGAACCTCTCCTGGGCGGCCCACTTAACGAGGGGCGGGGATCTGTCTTCGAGCCTCCGGGCGTGAGTGCCCCCCAAGCGGATCCATGGGCCATCCTCTGGCACGCGGTGTCGGGGATCACTCAACTCTCACCGTCGAACTCGTCGACATACTCGATTGAATCTCCGACTGCGAGGCCCTTGTAGACTGACTGAGACATCATCCAAACACACATGGTAGAGGACGAAGTAACGTGAGCGGAGCTGGCAGGGGCTGAAGCGGAGGAAGAAGAGACCATAGATGTATGAAACGGTTTTCTCTGCCCTCCATGCTTTGCTGGAGGCCCAACGCGAGAGCAGGAAAGCTTCGGCCCGAGCTTGGCGCCTGGCTTCTTGCAGGCGGCGCCCCCAGCCCAGTGGCCGAGCTCTCCGCAATCCAGGCACGCCTCCGTCTTCTATCTCTGGTCGATCTGGTCGGCGCCCTGGCGAGGTGCGGATGGGCGAGAGCCTCCTTTCCCCTCGGCGTGAGAAAAACCTCTGGCTTGAGTGGTCCCCTTCAGCTTCTGAGACGTGATGCTGAGAACGTCGTTCAACGCTGTCATGGCCTCGTGCACTTCATCGAACTCGGCTGGTTCCTGGTCGGCGGCCTCCTCAACATTGGGCTCATCATCTCTCGGCTGGCCGTCGACCTCATCCTCGTGCTCGGCCGCTTCCTCACCGAGCTGATCCCCCTCGATCGCAACCTCGGTGGCGTTCACCGCGCGAAGAGGCGGGGGCGGCCGCGGAGCCGACGGCCTGTCCAGCAGGGCGGGGCGGCCGGGCGGCGCAGGTGGATGATGCCGCCGAGGGCCGCCGCCAGGCTCCTGCCCGTGGCCTCGCTCGCGGTCGTCGCCCGGCGCCCGCTCGCGGCGCGGCCAGACCGCTGGCGGCGCCGCCGCCCTCTCGGGGTACAGGCGCCCGATGGCATTCATGATGCCGTCGAACTCGTAACTGTGAGAAATCGAAAGAATACCTCGGACATGTTCTTCGCCGAGAAGCGCCGTGCTCAGCAAGCGGTGCCCGCGAGCCTGGGCGTCTAGAGACTCCGCGATATTGATCTTGACCTGCTTGAGCGCACGCTCAACTCTGATGTGCCTGGTGCAGTGCGCGTGGAGCTTCTCACCATGGCTCCTCTTGATCCTCTCGTACGCTGCCAGCAAGTCCCCTGTGCGGAAAATCACCTCCTCGCCGAAGGGCGAGCGCATGACCTCAACTAAACGTTGGATGCCGCCCTGGGTGGCTCATGTCATCGGCGGGTCGGAGAAATCTCCTTCAGCGCCTCCCCAGTGACGGCATCTCTGAGCTGCAGCGCCGCTTCAGCGAGCGGCAGGTAGTGCTTGACTCGGAACTTCCAGGCGGCCACCGCATCGCGCCAATGCTCCCAACAGCACGGGTCCGCTCGGCGACCCCCCGAGAAAGTCGGGGCCGCTGGCGGTGCGCCTCCGCGCCATCGGACTCCAGGGGCGGGGCCGCGGGGGCAGAGCGGGTCGGCGCCGACCGCGGCGTCTCCTCGAAGCACCGTTGCTCTGCCCACTGTCACCGTGTTCCGAGGGCGGGTGCGACATCGTGGCGAGAACTCAACTTCACGACGCACGCTACCAATGTGATCGGACTTCTTTTCACTGCCGCGAGTGGAGCGTGGCCACGGCCTGCAGTCATGCGTATGTAGCTCCCAGCGGGAGCGGAATAAAGACTCGGGCCTCGAGCCCGGCAGTATAAGATCGCTGATCTGTCTGCTGTGTGTGCTATGCTGAATGCCTGTGGGTCTGTATCTGTTGAGTTATCTATCTGATGTCGCCGGCTGGCGGCTCTATTAGAGGGGCCCCTCAAGCGGGTTTGAGCGAAACGGCCACGCAACGGCACAAACCTGAGAGGGGCAACTATGCAAGCTGCGGCAAAACGTTAAACACTGATCTCAATAATAGAAGCTGAAAGGCACTCGGGGCCTCTCGAGGCTAAAAGGTGTCTAGCGGGAGGCTGGCATGCTAAAACAGCTCCTGTTTCAGAGATAGACCGTGTCCCAGAGCACTGGGGATAGGGATCGGCTAAAAGATGCAAGAATCAAACGCAGCTCCACAAAACGGCGGGGTCTGCCCTGGTCTGCGGACAACGATTGTCGCCAGCACCCCCCCTCTTGGCCGCGCGGTGGCGCGAGGAGTACTCCCACGGCTGCTTTTCAAACGGGGCCCCAGTGCGATCCAGCCGACCCTGGCGGGTTTGGGGGCGCCCTGGGAAGTACTCAGGGGTTCCCGGCTGCTCCAAAAAATAAGCCAGATGAACCCCTCTTGCCCTTTTCTCGATGCGCGCCAGGAACTGACATGTGCATGGGCACGCGCACCGCCGCTAACGCGCCATCGCCTGGCCTGCTTCTGCTCGGCCGACAGGTCCGCGAAGAAGGGCAGCGCTCCCGTCCAAACATCCTTCCGAGCGCTATCGTTTCACCTCCTTGTCCCCCAGTCCTCTTCCTGCAGCCTCCTGATGATTCCCCTCCCACTCCCCATTTTAAATGCTGGTTGACTGCGACTTCGATTGGATGGTCGAATTACGGGGCCAGGAATCAAAACAACATGCGACAACGATTGGGTTTCGTGCGAAAGCGAAGCTTAAATCGCTCACTGTAGTCCGTCAGCTCTGGTCCCTTGAGACCAGTAGCCGTTCCATCACATTCTCACCCGATGGAACCGCCAAAGTGCCGCTCCCGTGCGGCTGGCCGATTAGGAGGCCAGACCTCAGGGGGGAAACCAAAAGGTACCCATGCCACTACTCCCCGGGCGTTTCCTGGGGTGCGGGGGTCGCCCAGGGTGGCGCTTTGCTACCTCAGGCACGGTACGAGCCTGCCGAACAGGTCCAGTTGCCCGCTCAACTTCGGCCGGTTGGCCTCAGGGGGCCCCTTCAGCGCCGTCGTCGCTGCTCTGGATCTTGATGTGCGCGTCCTCGGCGCTGGGCTCCATGCGCAAGCTGCGCTAATTTGCAGTCGACCCGTGTAGCAAGGATGCGCGATAAAGATGCAAGGGCCTTGGGCGCCCATTTCGAAGTTTGTCGAGCGGGGCGCGGCCAGCGAAAGTGGCGAAGGATGGGCCCAGGAGGCAAACATGTAAGGGTACCCTTTGGAAGGTTGCTCGTCTTAACTATGCGGCTTGACTGTGCGCGCCGCAAGATTGCCTGAAGGCCTCAGTGTTGAGCTGCAGAAGCTACCCCTCGTTGCACTTTCACGCGCCAGTGTCTGGCCCTCATAGAAGCCCCTTTGCCCTTGATCTCCTCATGTTGTTTCTCTTCTCTTCCTGTTCCTCCTCCTCTTCCTCACCACCACCACCACCACCACCACCATCATCATCATCATCATCATCACCATCATCACTATCATCATCATCATCATCATATCATCATATCATCATCATCAGCATCATCATAATCATCATCATCGTCATCATCATCATCATCAGCAGCAGCATCAGCATCAGCATCATCGTCGTCATCATCATCACCATCAACATCAACAGCATCAACATCATCATCATCATCATCATCAACAACATCATCATCATCATCATCATCATCATCACCACCATCATCCTCTCCTCCCACTCCTTCCTCCACCTCCGCTTCTCCTCCCACTCTTTCCTCATCCTCCTCCTCTTTCCTCGCCCTCCTCCCTACCAGGGCTACTCAGGGTTGCCCAGGATGCAATATCCCGCTGGAGAAGAACAACAACAAAATTTATCAAGCCAGCCCAAGCAATAATGGGACCATAATACCACCACGACACCAGCGCCGACTAGGCACGAGAAGCAGCTCTGCGAGCAGTAACAGGCAAACATGTTTTAGAAAACTCCAGAATCAAAACATAGCAATTTTCTATTGCAATCCTCGCGATATGATGCTGGAGAATCATCCCGCGTGCAGGAGGATGGCCCGCAGTGGGCTTTTCCGCTGGAGAAATGACCTCCAAATATTATCCCTCCTCCAACAGTGGACGGAAAATAATCCCATGTCGCCGCGCGCGCCGACCAGGCGCCAGCAGGAGTTCCGCCGGCAGTGCTAAGCAGGCGAGTTGGAACAAACTCGCAAATCAAAGCGAAACAATTCCGATTGCAATCCCCATGGGAAGATGCTCACCAATCCTGCCGCGTGCAGGGTATCCCACAGTGGATTCATCCGCGCGAAAAATAACTCACAAACAGTATCCAGTCCACCAAACAATAAAGGGAAACCAGTCCAATGCCGCCGCAAACGCCGACCGGGCGCCAGCAGGAAGTTTGCTGGCGATGCTGGGTAGGCGAGTTTGCGCAAACTCACCAATCCAAGCGAAGCAAATCGTATTGCACCCCCCAAGAGAAGATGCTCTTAAATTCCCCCGCGTGCAGGGTGACCCACAGTGGATGATTCCGCTGGACAAAAACTCCGAATCGTTACCCAGCCCGTCCAACAATAGAGGGAAACTAATCCCATGTCGCCGCGCACGCCGACTGGGCGCCAGCACGAGTTACTCCAGTGGTGCTGGGCTGGTGTGTTTGAACAAACTCGCGAACCGAAGCGAAGCGCGCATGTATTGCCATCCTCATGAGAAGATGTTCACACATCGTCCCGCGCGCAGGGTAACCCACAATGGACTATTCCGCTGGAGAAGTAACTCCCAAACATGACCCTGCCCATCCAACAATAAACAGGAACTGGTCCGACGTCGCCGCGCGCGCCGACCAGACGCAAGAGCAAACTCCCGAATCAAAACGAAGAACGTTTTCGATTGCACTCATCATGAGAAGATGCTCACACATCCTCGTCTCATGAGATATGGCGACTTTTCTATGTTTGGAGCGTTCAAGAAACGCACATGAACTTGATAACCAAATCGGACAAACAGTTGGGGCTGCACTTTAGATTCGAAAACAAAAAGGCTACGTTTGAATTACTGCTGTTTACAACGTTGGAAAATAACGCAAACGGACTTCAAAATCAAATCGGCCACACAATGAAGGTTTCACTTTCGTTCCGAGACCACTACGGCGATCTTCTATTCTGGACAACGTTGAAAACGCATGTGAATCTTGAAACCCAACCGGTCACTGTTAAGAGTCCATTCAATTTTCAAAACAACATGGCGACCCTTCAAATGATATCAATACAAAGCCCGCCACGCGCGCGTCCGCGCGCACGCGATCGGGTGACACCCGGAATCCGGTCAATCACCCGTTAGGGTTCACTTTAATTTCCAAGCCAACGTGGCGACTTTTCCATGGATGACAACACGACACCCGCCACGCGCGCGTCCGCGCGCGCGCGATGGGGCGACCCACGCGCGGGCGAGTACTCCGAAATCTGGCTGGTCATCGTCGAAGGTTCACTTTCGTTGCCAAGCCAACACGGCGCTTTTCCTGCTCTTGAAGATTTTGAAAAACGCATGTGGGTTTCATAATCCAGGTCACTGTGAAGGGTTACTTTACTTGCCATGCCAATATGGCAACTTCTCATTGTGGACAACACTAAACTCGCCACGCGCGCGTTGGCGTTCGGCATTGCCCACAATGGAAACTGGGCCTGGGAACTAATGCAAACCCTGAAATAAAGGTGACCTGCCGGATTATGAATGGCCCGCCGCGGGCGCGCGCGTGTCGAGTTTTGCATTGTTCGCGATGGGAAAACTGCCATGTTGGCTTGGGAACTAAAGTTAACCCTTAACGGTGGCAGGTTTAATTTTGAAGTGAGCATGCGTTTTCAACGTTCTCAGCGAAAGAGTAACGAATCTGTAACGTTGGCCGACTCGATTTCGAAGCGAACGCGCGTTTGTCACTCCTCCTCCTCCTCTCCTCCCACTCCTTCCTCCTCCTCCTCCTCCCTTTCCTCCGCCCCCTCCTCCTCCTCATCCTCTTCCTCCCCCAGCTCCTTGACGGGGTTAGCCAAGGTAGCCCGGGGGGCCTTATTCCCGGGGGGGGGGGGCCTAACGCTTCCCAGCAGAAGGCAAATGATCTCCGCCGCGACGAGGAGGTTTTGAGACTGGCGTCGCTCACCGCCGAGAGAACAAGGGGGGCACTAAATCTAAACGCGCGCGCGGGCGACGAGATCGGGGAGCGGGTCTACTACTGGGGGCGTGAGAAGGGAAAAAGGCCTTGAGAAATGCCATTGGCGTGGGTCCGCACCGGTCGCGGCGGCGCAGTTCAAGACCGACGAGGGCGAGGCGGCGCGCGTCTCAGCGGTCTGGGTCACACGCGGTTGCGATCTACAGCTGCAGCCTGGACCAGCCGAGGCCGGAGCTCGAGGACGAAGCGCCAGAGCTCGAGGCCAGGCGAGGAGCGGCGACCCATCCGCGCAGCGCCGTGGAGAAGTAGCGGACACCGAGAGGCACCTTCCACTTCGAGGGCATGTGGGGACAAAGCGACCGCCCCAAGTGTGGCGTCGTCGTCGACGACGCGGGCGCCGTCGCTGCCGCAGCAGACGAGCCCATGCCCGCGGAGGCGGGCGCGGAGCCGGCTAACGCGCGTCCGCCAGCGAGCGCGCCCGAGGGGGGGCCGCCGCCATCTCCAAACAGAATTGCGCCCGACTCCCAAGAGAAGAACCCCGCTGCGGAGTCCACCGCGGCCGGCGGCAGCGCCCGCGCCGCTGCGCCTGCCGCCGAGGCGACCGGGGCCTGCATCGAGCGATTGGCCAAGCGAAGCGTGGAGGCGACGACGTCCTCGACGGCCTGCCGAGCAGGGGGCCCAGGCTGACCTGGAAGAAGCTGATCGCCGGGGGCGACGACGCCCAGGCCAGCGCCGAGGCGGCCGATAGTGACGAGCTACTTCTGCTCGAGAAATTGGAGAACCGACAGAACAAATCCCCCGCCCACGAGCGGAAGGCCCCCAGAGCCGTGGAGCCCAGGCTCTCGCCCGTGGAGAAGCGGCAGTTCAGCGAAGCGAAGCGGGAGGCCCTGGAGGTCTTCAACCGCAGCCAGGGGCGGGGGTCGATCAACGAGGAGGAGGCAGACCCAGCGGCGCGCTGCCCGCTGAGATCCCCGCTGAAGTGGATGACGAAAGACGGACAGCACGTGGCCAACGCGAATGTTCTATGCGAGGGTTTCAAGCTTCGCGACGCTGTCGAGGGCCAGCTCGACAGAGTGCCGCCCGCGCCATCATGCTGCGGGCTGCCGCGCCGAAGTGGGAGCTGTTCACCGCCGATGTGAAGTCTACATTCATACAGGCAGACGAGGTCAGCCCCCGCGGTCCGAAGCTGCGCGCGACTCCTATCGAGAAATTGAGGGGCGCACCATCGACCCAGATCGGACTGCAGCCCGGGCAGCTACTGAAGATTATCAGGCCGTGCTTTGGAGACCCGAGGTCGCTCGAGCTCTGGCACCGCCGCTCTGTCGAAGTCGCGAGGGAGATCAGGATGAAGAATCGCTGGCTCGAAGACTGCTTGCTGGTCAACTTGCGGGCCGCGAAGCCCAGCG